GCTGCAATTCTTGTGGGACGGCACTGGAGCAATGGTTGAATGGAAAAAAGGCATCTATTCCTTTCGCTGTGCCAATGATTTGGAGAGAGCCAACAGATCATGTTAGTAATTGTTACTTTTGTATGGTGCCTCCAATTGTAAAAGGGCTAAATAAGAAGAAAAAGTTATCTGTGCACTATCCAAATATTCCATCGGCAATACGTCCAGTTCCTCATGGAGAGGGGCTACCAATTCCTAAAGCACCAGAATCCTTCGTGGTTGAGTCAAGTGAGGAAGAACCTGAAGCGTGTAGTCACGTGCAGTTGTAAGAGATAGCCCTTTCCTCGAATACAAGAGAAAAGCCAAGAGAAGCAAAACCGACACAAACTGAAGACAAAACTAGTGAGAATCCTAAGTATTAAAATGATTCAACTTAGCTTATGGCTATAATTTTTCTTGGTAATCCTATGCAATATATTATGCCATTTAGGCTTTGTTATGTAGTCAATATCACTTGCTTTATATTTGTGGAAAGACATCTATCTATATAATTATTGTGCATTATGTAGTCATTACGCCTATAGTAGAAAACTTTCCGTTTACAGAAAAACTAGAGCCAATTGACAAATTTCATTGTTATATTTGAACTCAGAATGTGAAATTCATTAAGAAATGGATCCTTTTGTTTCCAAAACTGGCAAAAAATAAAAATTTGTTGAACAGTGTTATCTACCACTCCTAAAATTGTCAGATATCAGCGCTCTGATCAGATTGGCCACTCTACCAGACACGTAAGCATTTAAAGATGAGCTCCAGGCAGATATAATTGACACAAATTATTGGAGCTCTGTAATTATTTATACATCATTTACGGCTAGTTCACACTAGCTTTTTTTTCTGCATCAAAAATGCATGCACAGTGTTTTCCATGTATTCCAATGGCCCTAGTTCACACCAGTGCAGTCAGTTCCAGTCGGTTTTCAGTGCAGAAAAAAAAGTAGAACATGCTGCATTTTTTCTGCACAGAACCATACTGGAACATGGCAAACTGCATCAAAATGCACCGGAACTGCGTGTGAACTGTAAGCAAAAACATATCCAGAATGCATCCGGAGTGCATTTTTGTATTGTGAACTGGCCCTTAAACTATTTTTTAAATGCACAAAGTATCTGAATTGGACCTGGTGTCAGCCTGTTGCAGTCCCTGTATAGCAGGGCTGGAGTGTGAGAGGACGAAGCTGCACAAGGAGCCAATCAAGTCATGTAATGGCAAGGAGCATGCTGACAGGAGGAAAGAGCAAGGTGACAGGGAGCTGAGCTCATCGCCGTGCTATTTCTCCTTTCACTGCCCAGTCACAGGCTAGGGTGGGAGGAAGTGGACTGAATGATGCTGGCCTCTTGTGGTGGAAAAGAAGCACTGTAGGGGAGGAAGTGGACTGAATGATGCTGGCCTCTTGTGGTGGAAAAGAAGCACTGTAGGGGAGGAAGTGGACTCAATGATGCTGGCCTCTTGTGGTGGAAAAGAAGTACTGTAGGGGAGGAAGTGGACTGAATGATGCTGGCCTCTTGTGGTGGAAAAGAAGCACTGTAGGGGAGGAAGTGGACTGAATGATGCTGGCCTCTTGTGGTGGAAAAGAAGTACTGTAGGGGAGGGGAGGAAGTGGACTGAATGATGCTGGCCTCTTATGGTGGAAAAGAAGCACTGTAGGGGAGGAAGTGGACTGAATGATGCTGGCCTCTTGTGGTGGAAAATAAGTACTTTAGGGGAGATCTCTGGATTGAAAGCGTTTTTTTTTTTTTTTTAATGAGCTATTCATTATCATATTTTTGGCAGGAGGTCTGCTTTAAGAACCTCTTTAACCGGCTGCTTCTGTTGGAACCTTTCCATCATAGCAACAGGCTTGCTAGGATATCTGTACTGTTAACTCTCATTCATAAGAGCCTCCTGGGCTTGTTTTATTTAAAGGCAGGAAAAATTGGTCTAGAACAGTGGTTCTTAACCTTGTTGGAGGTACTGAACCCCACCAGTTTAATATGCGCATTCACCGAACCCTTCTTAATTGGAAAAATAAAATATGATTTTTAAAATTCAAAACATAGGTATATACTTAGGTATATATTTATACATAGGTGCACAAAATGAACAAAACCGTTAAGAACAAAACCATTAAAACATGATTTTCACACAAAAACAAAAACATAATAATGAATATTTACTGCACGAATCATATGAGTCGGGTGTGGGTCTTCACCTCCGCCAAACCCGTGAGACTGACTCACCGAACCCCTGGGGTTCGATCGAACCCAGGTTAAGAACCACTGGTCTAGAAGGTATAAACATACTCAATACTTTCCAGATCGAGTTCTCCTGCGTTTAAATGTACATGCCTTTAACTGCATTCAAAGTATCTTAGAGTGATAGCCCCACCTACAGGCTCATTGTGGAATTGCATGAGAATACTGAAGAGTTCCATCAAAATGAGAACATCCTAAATGTATGACACCAATGGTCAACCCCCAAAAAAGACACTGCCTACAAAACCACCTCAGCTTAGCCTTGGTGTGTCTTGTAAAAAAAGAGTGACCTATTGGTTCCAAAAAAAAAAAAAACAAAGCACTCTCTCCTTAAGACCTCATTCTCATGGCCATGAAAAATTCAGTGATGTTATTACTCATGTGCTTTCTAGGAGAAATGTTCCTGCATAATCTGTAAAATACTTGCATATAGATGTGTTTAAATGCATGAAGATGTGTGTGTACATTCCTTGTTTTTATTATAATTTTTTCCGTGCCTACAAAAGCGTATGCATGCGTTTATATGCGTAAGCGTGTAAATCGCATGTTCCTGGATGCAGATTTATGGATTCTGTGTTACGGATTTGAAAGCAGCTAATGTTTACGCACCTGTGTGAAAACAATGTAGTGGTGTTCAGATCTGTAAGTAATAAACACTTGTATATGCGTATTTTTACAGCCATGTGAATGACGCATAGAGCCCAACTCTGGGAACTGAACAAAAGTTACCCTTGCAGCGGGTCCCCCATCCTTTTGGACACACACTGCAAGGCTCAAAGGCTCGTTAGGTCTAGGGGCAGAGGAAGAAGGTAATATATTTATCGTATACCTTGTTTCATCAGGCTGTGGGTGGCTCCTCACGGTCCTCATATACAATGCAGAACTATTGGGTCCTGCACTGTACTTGATGACATCAGCATGTGACCATGGTCAGAGCACCTTAGAAAAGAAAGCTTTGCGGGACCGGCTGCACAGATGGAGAGAGCCTATTGGAGCAAGGCATAAGTTAAGGGGCTCATCACCCAACCTCTAGACAATTGGCTGCTGCTCTAGGGAAGTCTACTGCTGCTGTCCTCCACACCTCTCACAAACTCAGGTTCCAGCCCAGTTTGTCAGACTGTATACGCAAGAACCTCCAAACCACCGGATGGCTGCATATGGAGAAAACATCCACCTTTATTAAGATCCATCAAATGCAGCACACAGACACGGGGGGACAGAGGGGAATTCTATGCATTTCAGCACTTATAAGCTGTGATAGGGTGATGGACTTTTCCCTTCATCCCCTGGGTGTCTATGTGCCACCCAACCCCTAGATCTAATGAGCATTTAACCTCCGCAATGCTGAGGCCCCACGGCAAGGGTCATGTTAGTGTAATTCCCGGAGTTGGGCTTTAACTGGAAACACACAATCCTTATAACCCTGTATTATCAATTGTACATAAGTGAATTGCATGGCGCTGTCACGACATTAGGACTAGTCATGTGACAAAGCAATGGATGACAGACTCCATTTTGTATGCCAACACAGGTACTGTATATCACAGTGAAAGCCAGAGACCCAACGTAGCGCTCAAAAAATAAACAAGTACGCACGGGTCTCACAGCTGAGATTGAAGGCAGATCAGTTCCCATAGCCCTTTACAACCAAAATCTCCCTTTCCCACAGCCATAGTGAGTTAGACACCTGAAAGGGATTATCTGATTGCTACGGACAGGGACAACAGTATTTCTAATACTTGTCATTGGAGCACCCAGTGGGGGACATTTACAAAACTAGCGCTTGCTAAAAAGAGGTGGCGACTGCAGCTTTGTGTACTTTATTTTCCATAGTGGGTGTTATACATTATTTTCTGCTTTCCAGTTCAGCAATTTTTACTAAATGTAAGAAGAAGAACAAAAGTTACCTATTTTCAGTGCTGGAAGTGCCAACTTATCGGTCGGCATTAGTTTTGTAACTGTCCCACTTGGTTTCCACTACCACACCCACAGCACACACCATCAAATTTTGTCATAAAAAGCTATCTCAGTGCAAAGTTTGGAAAGTTTACACTGCCTAAGTATCACAATGAACATTCTTAGTGACAAAAAGAAAAAAAAAGACAAAGTTGAAAGTTGAAAGTCTTCCCCTTCGGTCCTCGGGGGACTTTAAATTCCACACACAGTTGAATATGTCAAGTTTCCAGATGCAAATCACACAGTCAATGATTCCAGGTTCAGAATTTCCAAAGTTTGAAAATGAATTTAGAAACAAAACAATAAGCAGTTCACATGCAATATGAGGATTAAAAAAAAAAAGGAAAAAAAACATAGGTATATATTTCCCCAACTTCGTCTTAAGATCAGAAAGTTGTAGTGGAAAGACGTACCGGCGACTCTATACATAAGATGGAGTTACGTCGACGATATACTAATATCTTCCATACTTTGGCCTGCTGGGCAAGGAGCCTTTAAGATTTCCTTATCCATAGGTAAAACAAACTAGCTACACGGCTTCAAAAACAGTATCTGATCTTCGCCTCATCCCGCGCTGAAGCCTTGGACCGTCCAATAAAAACACGGCGACTGACTTATACAAAAACAAAGCCGGAAACACGCCAGGACAGCTAAGTCGGGTATATAAACAGCCACTATCGCCACTGTCCTAGGCGGCGTTCCCACCAACTTCACGTTAAAAAGTTTTGTGGAACAGACGTCAAATCTCAAAACTTGCTGCGGCTCCTCCTTCAGCTTAGATGGATGGGCATGTAGTCTGGCCTCCTGGTCTGGATGATTTTCGGCTTGCCTTTACGCGTCCCATCCTCGTCCTCATCCACTTCCAACTCGGTTTCGGGATCACTCTCGCACACATGGACCACCACACTGGGAGTTGTGTCTGTGGCTGCATGTAATTCGTACTGCTCCCCTACAAGCAAAGAAACAAAAAAATGGTTTAGGAAAAAAAAAAAAATAGTTTTGGGCAACTGTTAGCAATACATTAATTAAAGCTGAAGTTTAACCACTTGACCACCGAGAGTTTTACCTCCTTCACGACCAGGGCATTTTTTGCTATTTTAACTGACAGTTGCTCGGTCATGCAACACTGTACCCAAATTAATATTTTTTTTTTCTTTCACACAAACAGAGCTTTTTTTTACCACTAGGTATTTTGTTGTTTTGCTCTTTAACTGAAAAAATACAGCAAATTTTGAAAAAAAAAGTCTTTATTCTTAGTTTTTATTATAACATTTTGCAAACATATCCAATAAAAGAAAATCAAAAAGACAACATTTCTTTATCAAATTTAGGCCAAAATGTATTATGTTACATTTATTTGGTAAAAATAACCCAAATCAGTTTATATTATTTGCTCTGTGTGAAAGTTATAGTTTCAACTGTCATGAATGGCTTTCCAATCGACAGCTTGCTTACTGTTGACATGTTGTGACTGGCTACAGCTAAATCACATGTTACAAGATACCAGGTACCATGTGATAGCTGTGGGCCAATCACAGCATCACAACAGTATGCAAGCTGTTCATGAAGAAAGTCATTCATGACAGTTTGCTTACATAATATCATGTGATCACTATGATTGATCATAGCGATCACATGATACCCTGGCTTCTGGACGCTAGTGTGCATGTGCCTGGGCGATGTACCAGCACATTGCCGTGCCTGCCTGTACCGCCAGCTCACAATACATTTACTGTGAGCGGGTTGCCAAATAATTAATCTGCTTATATTTTGCCTTTCCTGGTTTTTCCCTCCCCCCTCATCAACATGCTAATGAAGTTTAAAAAAAAAAAACTTTGATTAATTTAGTCATGTGTAGGCATGCATACATTTATTCATCTGTACATGTGTATATGCAAGGTTTTTATGGAACATAACTTGTGCTTTTTACTCTTTTTGCCAGCCTCAACCTGCAAGATCCTGCATATAACCATTTGTAAAATGATTATGTCTGTTTGCAAGAAGCCTTAACCTTAAGAGCCCAGCTGAGGTGTCACGTTATTTTATCTTTTCAAAGTTCCGTACCTCTGCATTTACTTTGACTTATTCGTATGTAATTTAAAAAAAAATATCTTCCTTCCTCTCAGTGAAAGTTCTGCTTTATGTTTTTACACTGCAGTGCTCTGTGCTGGCAGAGCTGAGTAACAGCCACACGGCTTACACAAACAGGTGTTGTATAGAAAAAGGGGGGGGGGGTGTGTCTAGGGTGTGTCCTTATCCAGGAAAAAAAAAATACCAGTCTTATGGGCTTTTTCCTATTAGTAACATTGGCAATAAGTTCCATTTTCACTAACCATGTTGAAAAAATCCTGGCCAGGTGGCAAGCAAAGGCATATCTAGCCAGGTCCGCTATATTACTGTGTGCAGTAGATCCAGTGATACAATTCATAAATGATAACCAAGGCTGGAAAATGAACCTAAGACTAGTGAATTGGGGGTTGTAGTACAATGTCTACTGGACTGAACATTTATTTCTCCAACAGGCCTACCAAAATATCTGTAACAAAAATCTGCCTGTATTGCCCTTATCCACAATTTCTCTCTTTTGTTATTGCTGACTGCATTGAAAACGCAAATCCATCTGTTACAGCCAATGCAGTCTTCATCTCACGCTGGAAGAACATGGCCACCATTCCCCCAGTGAGCCGGCCTCGGTGCCAGAGTTCCCACATTAACACCCGTACGAGGCGTCCTTTCACAGCTCTGTCATGGGATCTTTTATTCCCCTTCAGCCTAATGTAGGAAAAATGTACTACTGAGAATTAAAAATAAAACCAAATGATTTGGTCTGGAAAGAATGGAAACTTGGCCCCACGTGTGTTCTATAATCACATCAGCTATTTCTGGACCACTCAAGAGAAAATGTTCCCTTTCAGAGAATTCTCCTTTCTGCACACAGAAAAATGACTGCTGAGGGATAGAAGGATTTCTGTGGAAACTCAGGGAATTAATTCCCTCTGATTTAAGGGGAACCTCTTATGGCAGGAAGAGAGTAGCAGCAGCTACTGACAGAGCTCTGGGGGTGTCATCTTCATCCCTGATCCTCAACCTCTCCTGTACAGTGACACTGACTGGGGGGCCCCAGAGCAACAAGAAAGACTGACTGACATCTGCAGACCAACACATCAGTGAATCAGACTTGAAGCCCCAGAGGAACACAGCAGTGAAGCTGACTCAGGGTCCCGCAGAAAAACAGGAGTGAAGCTGACTCTGAGCCCTAGGGCAACATAGGAGTGAAGTCAACTCTCAGCCCCAGAGCAACATGCAAAGAGGTAATTAAGTTGACTTTGAGATCCAGAGCAACCAGGAGTGAGCAACACAGGAGTGAAGCTAACCTAAGCCCCAGAGCAACACAGGAATGAAGCTAACTCTGTGCTCCAGAGTAACACAGGAATGAAGCTGACTCTGCGCTCCAGAGCAACACAGGAGTGAAGCTGACCCTAAGACCCAGAGCAACACAGGAGTGAAGCTGGTCCTAAGACCCAGAGGAGCACAGGTGTGAAGTGTCTAAGGGCCCAGGAACAACACAGCCTGTGCAGTGACTAAGGGCCCAAGAACAACACAGTGAAGCTGACTCTGACTCCCAAAGCAACACAAGAGTGAAGCCGACCCTGAGCCCCACAGTAACACAGGTGTGCAGTGATTAAGAAACCCAGAGCAACACAACACTGGAATAGTGGTTAGTACGTCTGCCTAGCAGCACTAGGGTCACCTGCTCGAATCCCAACCATGGCACTACCTGTGTAAAGTTTGCATGTTCTCCCTGTGACTGCATGGGTTTCCTCTGGGTACTCCAGTTTCCTCCAACACTCCAAAGACATGCTCATAGGTTAATTGGTTCCTGTCTAAATTGGCCCTAGTATGTGTATGTCTGAATGTGAGTTAGGGACCTTAGATTGTAAGCTCCTTGAGGGCAGCGGCTGATGTGAATGTATTATATATATGTAAAGTGCTGCATAAATTGACAGTGCTATTTAATTTCTTGTAATAAATTTTTAAAAAGTTGACTTTCAGCCCCAGAGCAAGACAGGAGTGAATCTGGCTCTGAGTCCCAGAGAAACACAGGAGTGAAATGACTAAGAGCCCCCAGAGCAACACAGGCATGAAGTTGACTTTGAGGCTCACAGCAGCCTGGAAGTGAAAATGACTCTGAGCCCTAGAGCAACACAATAATGAAGCTGACTCCTAGTTCTAAAACAGCAGGGAAGTGATGCTGATTCTGAGACCCAGATCAACACGGGAGTAAAACGAAGAGCCCCAGAGCAACGCAAGAGTGAAATGGACCTGGGAACACACAAAGGTGAAGCTTCTCTTGACTGGGAGTGCTAAGGACACAAACCTTGGGTGTTGAAATATGTCTTTCAATACAATGGCAGAAAAGAGAGCAATTCTTACCTGGCCCAAGCTTGGAGATGGCGTACAGGAGATCGTAATTAATAACTGGCGTGGCATCTTCCTCTTGCTTCCAGCCCACTGGAGGAGATGCAGGTGGCGAGATGAGAAACTGCTTCTCGGGGTTTGGAGGTGCCAGATGAGAACTGCCTATGTGTAAAGTCTGCAGAAGCATGAAAAGAGAGCATTAGAGTTCAGTGCAGGAATGTCCTTGGGCTGAACTGGCACTTAGGAAAGAATGGAAAGCATCATAAAAGGAACCCTGTACTGGGAGACATATGTAAGCTGAGATTGCTGACCTTCTCCTGACAATGCTAGTTGCCTAGTTGGCTCTAGCAAAGCAGGGACAGCCAGGTATCTAGGGTCCTCAAGCAGAGCCCATCTACTTCACTATGTACAGTGGGGAAAATAATTATTTGATACCCTGCAGATTATGTAAATTTGCTCATTTACAAAGAAATTAAGGGTCTATTATTTTTATCATAGGTGTATTTTAAATGATAGAGACAGAATCAACCAAAAATGCAGAAACAAAAAACACGCTACAAATGTTATAAATTGAGTTTCAGTTCAGTGAGTAAAATAAGTATTTAATCCCCAAGCAAACATGAATTAGTATTTCGTGGACAAACCCTTGTTGGCAAGCACAGAGGTAAGACATGTCTTATAGTTGGTTACCAGGTTTGCACACATCTCAGGAGGGATTTTGGTCCACTCTCCTTTTCAGATTGTCTAAATCTTTAAGGTTTCTTGGCTGTTGCTTGTTTCATCTCCCTCCATAAATTTTCTAAAGGATTAAGATCTGGAGACTGGCTAAGCCACTCCATGACCTTAATGTGCTTCTTCTTGAACCACTGCCTTGGCAGTATGTTTTGGGTCATTGTCATGCTGGAAGACCCATCCATGACCCATTTTCAGTATTCTGGCTAAGGGAAGAAGGTTCTCATCCAAGATTTTACAATACGTGGCCTTGTCCATTGGCCCTTCAATGCAGCAAAGTCGGCCTGTACCTTTAGCAAAGAAAGAGCTCTAAAACATGCGCTAGTCACCCCCATACTTAAAAAAGCCACACTGGACCCCACCAATCTTAGCAATCTAAGACCAATCTCTTTACTCCCTTTTGCCTCCAAACTCCTTGAACGTCTAGTCTACAACTGGCTAAGCTGCCACCCTATTGAAAATAACCCTCCAGTCCGGATTTCGCCCACAACACTCCACAGAAACTGCTCTCCTAAAACTCACAAACGACTTACTAACCGCTAAAACCAAATGGTCACTATTCCGTACTCTTGCTCTTGGACCTCTCTGCTGCCTTTGACACAGTTGACCACCCCCCCTCCTCCTTCTCAAAAAACTCTATTTACTGGGTCTCTGTGACTGTACTGTGACTGTTGGTTTGAATCTTACCTATCTCACCTTCAGTGTCACTTACAACTCTATTTCATCCTCTCCTACTCCTTTTACTGTAGGGTTTCCCCAAGGTTCTGTCCTTGGACCTCTCCTATTCTCAATCTACACTTCTTCCTTGGGTCAGCTGATAGCTTCCCATGGTTTCCAATACTATTTCTATGCTGATGACACACAAATCTGTCTCTCTGCTCCTCAGCTCACCCCATCAGTTTCCTCATGTATCACCGATTTAATAACAGACATATCAGACTGGATGTCATACCACTTCCTAAAACTCAATCTATCCAAAACGGAGCTCATCATATTTCCTCCCCCATGTACCTCTTCCCTTGATTTCTCGGTCAGGATCAATAGCACCACTATCAACCCATCCCTGCATGCCAGGGTGCTAGGGGTAAACAAAAAAAGAGGGTTGTGAAAAGAGATTCTCAGAAAAGCGGCTACATAATGAACAGAACGTGACATCAGGAAATAATTTCCAAAAATTATGCTTTATTACACATATATAGATATGACATATGGGCATTTGCCCTGGTTTACCATCACCTCAGTATGAGACAATACACACAGACCTCCATTTAAAATGACACCAGAACCGGTCTAAATGTGTGTGTACAGCAGGGAAAATGGCTACATGAGTCTAGTGTCCCTCAAACACCACTTCCCTAGGGAGGTGTATCCATGCCATGGGCATACCAAAATGGAGGATATAAGGGATTAAGCAGTAACCATTATGGCAAATCCCTATCAAGGAATCCAAAAATTAAGCTAAATGTGTATATCCATGTATGCAATTGAGCAAGCACAATATGCGTCAAATCATGTGCTAGGGGTAACCCTGGATTCTGAACTATCCTTTCAGGCCCACATCCAATCCCTGTCCAAATCATGTAGCCTCAACCTCCGCAACATCTCCAGAATACGCCCCTTTTTAACCAATGATACCACAAAGCTCCTAATTCACTCCCTGGTTATCTCTCGCCTCGACTACTGCAACTCCCTCCTCATTGACTTACCTTTACATATGCTATCCCCCCTCCAGTCCATCATGAATACTGCTGCCAGGCTCATCCACCTTACCAACCATTCAGTGTCTGCTACCCCTGTCTGCCAATCCCTCCACTGGCTTCCACTCGCCCAACGAATAAAATTCAAAATACTAACAACAACTTACAAAGCCATCCACAACTCTGCCCTAAGCTACATCACCAACCTGGTCTCAAAATACCAACCAAACCGCTCTCTTCGATCCTCCCAAGACCTTCTGCTCTCTAGTTTCTGTGTCACCTCCTCCAATACTCACCTCCAGGACTTTTCCCATCCTATGGAACTTATCCCAATCTGTCCGGCTGTCTCCTAATCTATCCACATTTAAACTATACCTGAAAACCTCTCTCTTTAAAAGAAGCCTATCCTGCTTCTACCTACCAAACCACCATTTATTTCCTCCATCAGCTCATCCCCCACAGCTATTACCTTTTGTATCACTCAACCCTTCCTCTTAGATTGTAAGCTCTAACGAGCAGGGCCCTCTGTTTCCTCTTGTACCAAATTGTATTGTAACTGTAATGTCTACCTTCACTTTGTAAAGCGCTGTATAATAATAATAATAATATATAATAATATTTTACCCTCCGTGCTTGACTGTATGGATGGTGTTCTTAGGGTCATAGTCAGCATTTTTCTTCCTCCAAACACGGCAAGTCAAGTTAATTCCAAAGAGCAAAATGTTGGTCTCATCTGACCACAGCACTTTCTCTCAATCCTTCTCTGAATCATTTAGATGTTCACTGGTAAACTTCAGATGGGCCTTTACATATGCCTTCTTGAGGAGGGGGACCTTGTGGGCACTGCAAGATTTCAATCCATGGCTGAGTATTGTGTTATCAGTGGTTTGTTTGGTGACTGTGGTCCCAACTGTCTTGAGATCATTCACAAGCTCCTCCTATGTAGTTCTGGGCTGATCCCTCACTATTCTCATGATCATCCTTACCCCATGAGGCGAAATCTTGCATGGAGTTCCAGACTGAAGGCGATTGATGGTTATTTTGTATTTCTTCCATTTGCGAATAATCGCTCCAACAGTTGTCTCCTTCTCACCAAGCTTCTTGCTGTTGGTCTTGTAGCCCATTCCAGCCTTGTGCAGCTCTACAATCTTGTCCCTGACATCCTTTGACAGCTCTTTGGTCTTGCCCATGATGGTGCCCAAAGAAAGAGATTTTGTGGACAGGTGTCTTTTATACACATAACGAGTTGTCATTAGGAGCACCTTCATAAATTGACAGGACTGATCTGTGTACCAGATGAGCACATAGCCAGTCTGCGGGAGCCAGAATTATTGTTGGTTGGTAGGGGATCAAATACTTCTTTTACTCACTGAACTGCAACTCAATTTATAACATTTGTATCGTGTTTTTTCTGAATTTTTGGTTGATTTTCTGTCTCTATCATTTTAAATACCCCTATGATAAAAATTCTTCATTTCTTTGTACTTAGGCACACTTTCAAAATCTGCAGAGGATCAAATAATTATTTTCCCCACTGTATATAACCGGGTACCAGCTAGAGATCCCTAGACCTAGACTAAGAAAACAGCTGCTACACTATCGATTCTGGTTGCCAGATCTGCGAACCTGAGTTCCCAACTCTGCACACCAGCTCAGTCAGTTTTTTTAAATTTTTGAAAGCCTAAAAATTTAGACAAAAACATTTTTAAAAAATCAACACAAAGGACAGTACCCAGAATCAGTGTGAAGTGTCCCTTGTGCTGCTGGCTGCGGTTTAATCTGGCATTCGTCTGTCCTCAGCTCCCCCTATAGCCCCACAGTGGCAATCCTCCAGTGCTGTGAGTGATGGACCAGTCATAAGCACTCATCACAAGTGCCGACTTTGCCCACCCTTTCCTCCATTCATAGAATTTGTACTATAGCTTCTAGGAGTGAAAAAAGCTCTATGAATGGAAGAAGTGGAGCTTTCCTTCATCTGCTTCCTCCATTCATAGAGTGATTTAATTGAATGACACTTCTATGAATGAAGGAGGGCTGTGGAAAGGGTCGGCACTCTTAACAAATACGAGTTACAGTTTAAACACTCCCTATGGCCCCGTTCACATTATCGCATAGCAGGATTTTGACATGCGATTTTCATGAAATTCCGAGTGTCGTCTATGCGCATTTGCCACTCCTTTTCAGGCCACAATCTTCACAATTTGTAAAGGCGAGGTTTGCTGCCATTCTGTCACAGGACAATTTCAGGTTCCGGGTGCCATTGAAGGATAATGGCGTGCAGCAGGTTGTGCTGCGATTGCTATACGATTTGTGCATCGATTATGTCCGTGACTCCAAATCGTAAGATGTCAATGGGCCGAAGAAGAAGAGTTCCTAACATGTCTTTCTGTAATACAGTGAGCACTGAGCCCTACACATTTTTGTGAAGTACCAATCATCTGGTCATGGCTTCAGCCCTAACATGGAGATCAATGTTCCCTATACCCAACAAAGACAAAATATGGAGGACTACCTGAGCAAAGTACAGCTTGATCTCCTTCCCCAGGAACTCCATCTTGTGTAGCTGGATCCTGGCCTCGGCAGCCAACAGTGGGCTACTGAAGTTGATCCTCACCCTCTTAAAGCTTTTGAAGTACTGGAAGGTGGCCTCTTTGTCAAACGTCCTGAACAGGGACTCAAACTTTGTCTGAAAGAAAAAAAAAATGAATAAATAAATACAGTTGGTTTTTTTTTTTTGCCTTTCTGGGACTGATGTATAGCCAAACAATAAATATTTTTTAGTATTAGATTGTCTTTTGTATGCCTTTCTGGCATAGAACCCCCAAAATATTTCAGTTTTTGGTATAGGCTGCAGGATTGAAGCGGAACTCCAGGCATAATTTTTTTCAATAGTTTTAACCACCTCCTGACCGTTCACAGTAAATATACTGCGAGTGGGCGGCAATTACAGGTACGGGCATGTGCAGGTACATTACTGGCCTTCTTACAGGTTTGGGGTGCGCATGTGCATGCCCACTGCTGTGATTGGACACAGCACAAGTTTGGCAGCAAATTTCAGCCAATGATTTCAGCTGAAACCCACTGAACGGCTGTGTCCAATCACACACAGAGTTCTGTGTTTACAAACACACAGAACTTTGTGTACAGTGAACAGTTATCTGGCTGTTTCTTCTCCCTGAAAAGCAGGGAGAAAAACAGCCAGATTAGTAAGTAAAAGCAGCACACATTACACTTGTTAGGCACACAGTTAACCCCTTGATTGCCCCTAGATGTAAACCCGTCCCAGCCAGTGTTGTTAGTACAGTATTATCATTGATCGCTGTATAAATGTCACTAGCGATGTCAGTGTCAGTTAGTGACCATCCCAGCCTGTGTCTGTTAGCACTAGATTGCCCGACACACTATAAGTCGCTGATCACCACCATTACAGTGTCAAATTGCAGTATATATCCCACAGTTTGCAGAAGCTATAACTTTCACACAAACCAACATAGCATTCACTTATTGAGGTTTTTCTTACTAAAGACATGTAGCATAATACATTTTAACCTGAATTTGTAAAGAAATTTGACTTATCGATTTTGTTTTTATTATGTTTTACAACAGAAAGTAGTGTGAAAAAAAAAAAGATATACATTTAATTTGGGTACAGTGTTGCATGATCGAGCAATTACCAGTTTAAAGTAGCGCAGTGTGGAATAGCAAAAAAAATGCCCTGGTCATGAAGGGGGTAAAACCTTCCGAAGCTCAACTGATTAACATATTCCTCAAAAAAACACAAAAGGATAGAAATCTACTTTGTGTGCCTTTGGAAAACGGAAAATTGAATGACAGATACTTACCGTAATGTTCTTTTCCTGACGGGCTCCATGTCAGCACAACTGGGTAAGGGCCCCGCCCCCCAACTGTGCTGACATGGAGCTGTCAGTAAGTCCCGTTTTTACCTGGATACAAATAGTAGTGACATCATCACTATCCAAAAACAGATTGTTTTTGGTGACTCCAGATCTCTGATTGGCTGTCATCATTGTTCTGCTCTGCTGTAATGTGAAATTTAAGCATTGTGCTCTTATTTTCTTTATACTTGTCACAAGCTGTCACCAGAAAATGTATTGATTACAGATTAGGTGCCTAAACTGAACTTTATTTAAAGAGGCGATGACAAATTGCACAAACCATACGGTGAGTACATTTTCCACTACCCCGTCATTTTCCTTCTGGAAAGAAAAACAGCTTCCTCTGCGGAAATAAATCTCTCAAACCACAGAGCCTCCGGCTAAAGAGCCCTTCATCAATGTAAAGCATGTCTGTAGAAGAAAGCGCAGACAGGAGGGAATGGCTGGATGTTAAAGCGACCTTGTCATCAAAAATTGCAGGTAGAAGCACAGAAAAAAAACGGAATATTTAAATGCTTGCTTGCGGTGCTTTTCCTTTCTATAAACTATTCTATAAACTATTTTTTACTGACTTGTAATGTGTCTTTCAACTTGCTAGAAAATGTGACTACTCCAGGAAGAGTCAATTACCCTAGCCCTCTCCTTTTCTGGGTGTGTCTTAATTACCATCTATGCTGGCCCAGCTCCTCTGCACCTCCCTACATAATATTTTATATAGGTGCCAGGGGAGGAGCAAAGGTTGACAGCTTGAGTGACAGATCTGAGTCCACTGGGGCTGCTGACATCACATCTAAGATGGTGGTACTGAACTGCAGTCTTAGGGCTTTTGGACGACTACACAAGGGAGCCTTTTCCAGGTAAATAACATATATAAAATACATTATATGCACAGATCATCTTGAGGGAAGACTGATGATGAAAGGAATGATCTGGTGGCAGGGTCTCTTTAAAATTTTTCACATAGTGAACCCGTCTTCAAAATCAGAAGTGGACTGGGGTGATGTTCTTAGAGTATGTCAACCCAACATTTTTTTATATTCCTGCTGTACCAGGTACTTGTATGAAAAAGTATCATGTTCTCCTTGTATTGCTTCCTTGGGTGAAACCCCGGGTTTTCCTGCCAGTCCCTCTGCTTTCCTATTAAAAACTGACCACACCAGGCCTGAGATCAAAGCGTGGTCAGTTTTCTGGCTGTGCGGAGAACTTAGCCTGCTCTCCTGCTAAGATTGGACTTCCTGTGTGCTGCTGTTTCCCCTCTCCCCGCTCTCTGAACTCCTTATGCAGCTGAGAACAGAGGTCATGTGATCACATAAAAAAAAGGGGGGAAAGGTATTTATAATGTTTTTTTTATATCTATACACAGATGTTTGCCTTCCATTTCTATTTTATACTGAATGGGTTGTTTTACAAGGTGAGAGTTCACATATACTTTAAAACTGAACTCTTGCAGATATTTAAAAATTAAAAAACCACCGATTAATGCTGCAATGTGTTTATTAAAATAATGTAATGTATTTTAAAGAAACTAGTTAAAATTATTATATTTGATATCAGCACCTGTACAGCAGCAATCATACTGGGAGGGGGAGGAGGAGGGGCAGGACCTAAGGCCAATCAGGTGTCCTGCATTCCCATGTGCTCACAAGAAACAAGCTGATAGGGGGGAGAGAGAGCAGAGAGGTGACCTCAATGGTCTACCGCTTCTCCTTTGCCCAATGAAAGCTCAGGGGCAGGGAGGTGACCAATCTGTCTTTATTGACTGTAGCAAATAAAAGTCAGGTCAACAAAACGGTTGTGCTGTATGGCAAAGCTGTGTAAACCTCTGGACTGGATGGACAGAAATAAAAATCCTTTGGCAGGTATGACAGCTCCCATACAGTATATGCAAGCTGTCTGCGTATAGTTCCTCTATTTGAAATTGCTGAGCCTCTTCTTTCTATTATGCTGTCAATATAGAGATTGCCCCCCCCCCCCCCCCTACCGTTCCCCCAGCATGAACAGATTACCCAACCACCCAGAGTGCACTGCAGTAATTACTTTCATCCATTCCTGGTCAGTTGTCCGATGTATCAAGCAGCGTTTCTCAAGTGGCTAAGTGGTTAGCACTTCTGTCTTGCAGCACTAGGATCCTCGCTTACAACCTCAACCAGGACACTACTTGCATGGAGTTTGCATGCTCTCCCTGTGCTTGTGTAGGTTTTTGCCAGGCACTCCAGTTTCCTCCCACAATCCAAAGACATGCTGGTAGGGTAACTGGCTAATGTCTAAACCGCATGGTCACTTGGCAGGGAGCCAGTTGTGCCCACGTGCCACAAACTTTCTGGTGCCCTTCCAGTGTGCCACAAGAGTATTTCTGGACCTAGTCTGATTTATTAATACTGCCAAAAATGGAGTTGGGATCTATGATCAGCTACTCTGCTTAGCCTCAGGTGACCCTAAGTTAAGTATTCAAGTCATCCTTCCCGTCTCCATGCTCTACTCAATTACTAACACAGTCAGACTGGAACCAATGTCGTCACTCACCCCGAGGCTGCTGGCACAAGTCAAAGATAGCAACAAATGAGCACTGGGCATTGTGTAACTTAACTGTTTTTCAATGGTCTAGTTGTCCTTTAACAAATACGACTAAACTATCACATGACATTCACAATCATTCCCTAGGCAATTTTTTTTTTCTTTTTTCTCTCTCTCTCATTTGCAGAAAACGCAATATCTTAACTTTTTCTTTTTCAGAAATCCCAAAATCTGCCCTATGGGGCTCCATGTCCCTAGAGCTGTATATTGCCAAGCAGGGAGTAAGATCAATATTGGCTGTAACAATGTTGACCTCAAAAGCAAAGGACTCATCTTCTATAGTTTCTCACGCACTTCTTTGCATTAGGCTCGATTTACTAAGAACTCATTTTAACAATGAGCTGCAGTAGCACATGTTCACCACATACCTACACTAGATCACTGTACTAGCAAAATGTAGCAGAAGGTCCAATGTTGGTCCATTGTGGTGCAAATGAATAGTTCGCCTAAAGCAGTGTTTCTCAACTCCAGTCCTCATGGACCCCCAACAGGTCATGTTTTCAGGATTTCCCTCAGATGAAACAGCTGTGGTAATTACTAAGGCAGTGAAACTGATCAAATCACCTGTGCAAAATAATTGAAATCCTGAAAACATGACCTGTTTGGGGTCCATGAGGACTGGAGTTGAGAAACACTGGCCTAAAGCAATGGACATTATTATGCAACATAAGGTCCATTAACAAGACTACAACAGACTGCCCTGGTGTGAATAGGCCCTGTGGGCTTGTTCGCTTGGGTGGCTAGGAGGCAGTAAAAGCGAGAAGTTGAGCCACGGTGTTACTGTCCACCAAAACACAAATTCAGCCACTCAGGACTGTACCCACCACATGGCGGGAGGTACTCCTGCTGAACACAACCCATTCAAGTGAAAATGGCACAACTGCCCTGCAACAGCATGCAATGCACACAGGTCACAGTGCGGTGGCTTGACATTTTTAAGGGTAAAGCAGACTGAGGACATTTGGCCTCCTCACCAGCCGAGGCAGCAAGATATCACTCCCATCACTAAAGATCGAGACTTGGTGGCACACAGGGAGCGTTTCAGCTACTTTAGTCGGCAAGGGAAATGATTCCATAGGACCAAACAGGCCCCTCAGTGATTTTGTCACTAGCGCCCATCTGACATCAGCCCTAGTAAATCCACCCCAAAGCATGCAACTATAAGAAATACGGTATGTGCAATGACACCAACACATTGCTGTGAATGGAAAGTGTCTAGGTTACTTGCTGGGGAGATGACAAGTGAACAATAATTTATGAACATAACCCAGACCTACAGGAAGTGGTTCTTGTAATGCCAATAACAAATGTATCTTCCAGTATATATTGACAGAATACAGAAAACGAGGTTTGGAAAAGAGGAGCACAATTACATTTTATGAGGCCCATTTAGACAATCGTAGTCTCATTAATACGTTTTTCCCCTCTGCTACTCAGATTGTGCTAATAGAAACATGCCTCTGACCACTTCCTACATTTGCTTCTGCTTAAGCAAAAAAAGTTTTGCAAGTGAATCTAAATTTACACATAAGACAACACTGTGGAAATCATGTGACCATGCAGGGTCCAAAAAAGAAAATCATCACAAATCATTTTTTAAATGAGACGCTGCCCGATTTGAAGCAGAAATATATCCAATTTTGATGCTGGATCCCTCATTCTCACAGGCGGGTTTTTTTTTTTTTTCTACAAATCTACATTATGCTGAAGAAATGACGTATTCCTGTTATATTCCACCTAGATAACAAAAAAATACTTTAAACCCACATTTTATGTAAAAGTGAAAAGAAAGGCCATGTCAGACCTTTGTGGTTGGAGGCAGGTGTCGGAGAAACACATTTGAAATTCAAAGTAGGAAGATCTGGTAGTTGGGCAACTAAAATTCTAAGTTACTAGAGGATGATGCCTAGTGCATGCATAAAATTATGCCACATTTGGCATTGGTAAGCAGTTTTACTTAGTGAAGACGAAAAGCAATAACAAAGAGTGATGGATCAGATATGAACTTCTAGTATTCGGGATGCTCAACAAGAAATCCTCGTTGCTTTGACTGAGGACTCTTTCAAACCACTTTAATTGATCTGCATAGATCAACACAGGCTCAACACTAGGGCACATAGAAAGCCCCTCATCCCCACTACACAATGGACACCAGCCTGCACCCGTTTTAGCATGCTGGGGTACACAAGACCTTATTACTCTTAGCTCGAGCGTGTGCAAGAAATAGTAGCATACGGCACACCAGAAATGTAATATATTGCTGCCGACCTGTCCTTCAATGTGGTTGTTCAAATAATTTTCTTTTATAAGGCTCTATATTCTCAACTGGTGATCCTGCCAGTAACACACATCCTGTCCTAGGGTGACAACACTGATTTGGGCTACATCCACGTCCCTCTGTCCTCATCTCCACCAGGTAGAGTACCCCCTTCTCCACCTTTTTATCTCAAATACATTTCATGTCTCCAGGAATCCTTGCTAAAACCAATTGGGTATCAACAGAAAAAATGCCTCTTACAACCACCTCCCTCTGACCCCATCTCCATGAAGTAGGGTAGCGTTTCTCAACTTTTGTATCTCTAATACATTTCAGATCTTGAGGAACCCTTACTAAAACCAATTGGGCATCAATGTCAAAAAAGTCTCTTACAACCACTTCCCTTTGTCCTCATCTTCACTAAGTAGAGTAGCCTTTCTCCACCTTTTTATCTCAAATACATTTCAGTCTTGAGGAACCCTTACTAAAACCGATTGGGCATCAATATCAAAAAAAGTCTCCTACAACCACTTCCCCCTGTCCTCATCTTCACTAAGTAGAGTAGCCTTTCTCCACCTTTTTATCTCAAATACTTTTCGGACTTGAGGAACCCTTACTAAAATCAAATGGGCATCAATGGCAAAAATGCCTCTTACATTGTTGGTCAAAAGGAAGATTGCAACCTTTGCAACAGTGGTCAAATGCCACAAACATCAAAAAAGATGTTGGTGCCACACTGCTTGCTTTGCCAAGTGGTGCTAGTCCTTGAGCTATGCAGACACCACAAAATGGGAGGGTCAATCAGTCATGGCTCAAGAAACCTCTGGAAGAACTCTGGTTGAGAATGGCTGACATAGAGGGTCTGTGTGCTGTAGTTCACAATAGATAACTGGGAAAGTTGAACATTGTTTGAGATATCATTTCAGTACACAGGAAGTTATAATAATCACAAGTTTCTATCAGGATCAACAGGTTTTTGTGTTCTTTCAGAAAATATACTTGGTCTGAAAAGAAGAAAACTAATGCAAACTACATCTAAGAACTTGTAAACTGCAAATCTATTCTAAATCAAACTTAAATCTAAAGCTTATTACATTTTATATTTGGGGTTTATTTATTTATTGCTGCTTTTTTTTTTATATACCACTGAACATGCACTAAGTGCTTTACATGTTGTACATTTACATTGGTTCCTGCCCTTAAAGAGCTTACCATCTTTAAGGCCCATATTAAAAATCTGGCCATATCATAAACTTCTAAAAAAAAAAAAAAAAAAAAGTGTGTTGAGGTATTTTAACAAAAAAAAAAGTAAATATACTGTAACAAAAAACAATATAATTACACAACAAATGAAAAAAGGTATTTAGTAAGGGCAATCTTACCCTGGCTTCGTTCTGGTTGAAGATATCACTGCCTGGCACACAAGCCACCAGGGAGGAGAAGCTGTAGTTAAAGTTTCTGAAGTGCATGTTGGTTGCTGATTGCCCCAAGCAGAAACAAGCTGCTTTCAGTGGAAGTTCCAAGATGTGAGCGGGACTATACAGAGCAAAGCTTACAGTAAACTCAGTTTATAAGGGAACTGCTTCAACTCCTCCCCATGAAACTTTACAGATCCTCTCCTATGGGGCAGCACATTCCTCTGCTGAGTCCTACATGCTCTGCAAGCGAAGCTCGGGAGAGGACTAGCTGGAAAGCGCGTGACGTCACCATTACTCACTTTCTGTATGCTAATGAAGTTTGCCTTTTTTTTTTTTTCTTTTTGCTTTGCAGGATGGAAAAACAGCTGAGGTTTGCATAGCAGCTGCTTTATCAAAACCTTTGGCTGCATAGTTTCCACTGCTAGTAATTCCATTCAGCACTCAGACTTACATGTTCTCACCACTTGAGCTGGGCAGCCGGTCTTAAGATGGAAAATGTTAATGCACAAGGCCCAGGCTGTATAGCAACAAACACTTATTATCTGACAGCGGTACTTAAGGCTTTCGAGAGGGAAGGTGGGGAGGAAGGGGAGCACACAGTTAATTAGACGTGTTGAACTCAATTGGGACAGAGTAAAAAAATGATGTATGATAACCCTACAAGGGTCAGTATTTTTTTTTTTTATATGGTGGGCTGCTTCTGTATGATTGCCAAGAACATTGCAGCAATACAATGCTTATCTAAACCCAAAAACAAAAATATAATATATATTGCAACTTGGCAGTCCTCAGATATGGCAGCTGCATTTGGGTACATGCAAACAGTCATATGAAAATACAACTGGTATGCAGGATCTTATCTTGCTCGCAGCAACCATTCTGTGTTAAAATTGCTCTTTATGCATGTAATATTTTAATAACATTTTTACGTGCATACAGCGTAAATTGCCCCCTGTTGCTAGGACACAGGCTGTTTCTGAAAGTAGCCACCTAGCATCCTTGTATTGCTAGGATGCAGGCAGCTTCTGACACCTGGCATTCTTCTGTTGCTAGGTTGCAGGTGGCATCTGCCACCTAGAGTCCTCTGCTGGTAAGACACAGGCAGTTTGACGACTACCATCCCTTTTGTTGCAGGGTTACAAGTGGCTTCTGCTGTCTATTGTCCGTCTGTTGCTAGGATGCAGGCATCTTTTGACACCTCGCATTCTTCTGTTGCTAGGTCGCAGGTGGCCTCTGCCACCTAGAGTCCTCTGCTGGTAAGACACAGGCAGTTTCTGATGCCTACCATCCCTCTGTTGCAGGGTTACAAGTGGCTTCTGCTGCCTATTGTCCGTCTATTGCTAGGATGCAGGCATCTTCTGACACCTGGCATTCTTCCGTTGCTAGGTCGCAGGTGGCCTCTGCCACCTAGAGTCCTCTGTTGGTAAGACACAGGCAGTTTCTGATGCCTACCATCCCTCTCTGTTGCAGGATTACAAGTGGCTTCTTCTGCCTATTGTCCGTCTGTTGCTAGGATGCAGGCATCTTCTGACACCTGGCATTCTTCCATTGCTAGGTCGCAGGTGGCCTCTGCCACCTAGAGTCCTCTGTTGGTAAGACACAGGCAGTTTCTGATGCCTACCATCCCTCTCTGTTGCAGGGTTACAAGTGGCTTCTGCTGCCTATTGTCCCTCTGTTGCTAGGGAGCAGGAGGCTTCTGCTACTTAGAATCCTCTGTTGTTAGGACAAGCCATTTAAGAATGTAACCGCCTGGTGTCCTTGTCTTGTAGGATGCAAGTGTCTTCTGAAACCTAGTATTCCGCTGTTTGTAGGACACAGTTGGCCTCTGCCACCTAGAGTCCTTTGTTGGCAGGACACAGGCAGTTTCTGTCATTTACTGTGCCTCTGTTGCTAGGTTGCAAGTGGTGACTGCTTATTGTCCATCTGTTGCTACGGTGCAGGAGGCTTCTGTGTAGGACACAGACAGCTTCTGCCGCCTAGCGTCCTTTTGTTTTTAAGACTCAGGTGGCACCAAAAGCGTCCATTTGTGCTGTACACAAGTAAACATAATTACAAATGTTTACATGCATGTAGTGTACAATTGCTCTGTACACTGTATGCATGCAAAGTTTCAGCTGGGTTTACATGCATACAGTGTTACAGCATAAATAGCTATGATGCAGGTGGCTTTTGCCCCCTAGGGTCACTCTGGTGCAAGAATGCAGGCAGCTTCTGTTGCCTAATGTCCTTCTACGGCTAGGACGCAGGCGGCTTCTGTTGTCTACCGTCCCTTTGTTGTTAGGACACAGGCTGCTTCTGCCACCTAGCGTGCTTTTCTTATTGGGACAAAGGCAGCTTCTGAAGGAAACTTGTGTCCTCATTTTACTACGACGCAGATGGCTCTGAAACTGTGTAATTGCACTCTACACCGGGGGTGTCAAACTTGCTGCCCTCCAGTTGTTATGAAACTACAAGTCCCATCATGCCTCTGCCTTTGGGAGTCATGCTTGTTACTGTCAATCTTGCAATGCCTCATGGGACTTGTAGTTTGGAAACAGCTGGAGGGTCACCAGTTTGACACCCATGCTCTACACAAACAATATAACAAATGTTAACATGCATGCAACAAAACAGGTGGCCCTTTCGCAGGACCTCAGAAGCAGGATTACTGAACGCAATGCAAATTTACTACGTTTATGCAGTTGTGCGCATGGGCCAAGGAAAGTTATACATCTGCATTCAGATCCATTAAAAAAAAAAAACAACACTGAACATAAAAAAGTCTGCATTTTTGCAGCTGCCCTTAGTTTTTTTTGTTTGGTTGGTTGTTTTTTTGTTATTTTTTAGGGCTAAGAACATTTTAGCAAGTACAGAAAATATGTGTTCATCATGCAACAAATGCAGTGTAATCTTCACTTCTCATGAGCTTAATAGATAACATAGCAATCTTTTCTTTCTAGTGTAAACGGCTAGTCTCATCAGCCCCCATGTAATGGAGATGAACATAGAGTCCCTCCGTAGACACAGTGGGGAAGTGAGTGAAGTCACCCAGGGACGGAAAGCATGTCATTCACAGGTACTCTGGGAGGAACAGTACTGATGCCCCGATCAGGGGCAGACTGACAACTCAAGGGGCCCCCGGGCAATAGGGGATCATGGGGCCCCTGTGTCCTTGCCCAAACTCAAAGCCTATGAAAAAGGTACCAGGGGCATCTCATGGGGCCTCCTACTGACCCCGGGCCCTTGGGCAGTGCCCGAGTTTCCAAATGGTCAGTCCGCCACTGGCCCCGATCACAGTGTTTTGCATGGTTTACCTACGTTTTTCCTTTTTTTTTTCTTGAAATTTTATTAAAATGTCACAAGTAACATTTAATATAGTTCTAGTCACTACAGTGGTGTTCCATCCCAACGCACTGTGCTGAAAGAAAAGAAGCACATGCAGCACATTATTCAGCACACACCACCACAACGCAGTGGTGTGTAATGACTCTACAGAAAACAAGGTGGATTGCACTGGGCCCAACACAAATGGTGTTATCGGGCCCTTATAGTTGCAAAAGAGTACCCCATGAATTTGCCAAAAACCTTGTGAGCGGATAACTTCCTGAACGTTCTGCCCATCCTGTTATCATTGACATTGTGCTACAAAACTGCACCTCTCTATGTTGTGGACAAGAGGAGAGGGGCAGGGTTTCATTGTCATACCTGGTTTCCTTTATACAGAAAGATAAGTGAGAGTTGTCATCCAGGGTTACTGGCAAAATCATCAGGTGAAAGAAAAGGAAAGAAAGAGCTTGAAAAAAAGAAAAACTAATGCTACCACCACAACAAGCTTTAACTTTAAAATGGAGCACATGCTCAACTTAAAGAAGCATTTCTCATCTGTTTTACCCCCAAAGAGCCCTTCAGATCTCAAGGAAGCCCTGGTGAAAATGAATACAGTGAGAGCTCACAATACACAAACATCATCAGTAAGTCAAGCTCTTGGGTGGAGCTTGATTGATGTGACGTCATTACGTTTCCCAGAGAGCTACTCCGCATGTGCCGAGTGGCTGGGTTTGTTTTTCATTGTGATTCCTGTATGCTGTTAACGCTGGTGTCGGCTGGGACACCTTTTGAGATAAGTGCAATGAGTGCATAATAAAGAAAGCTGTTTTTAATAATACTGCACCATGAAGTTCTTTTGTTTCTTCCCAGTGTCTGGCATTTCCCCTCTTGGATACGATTAGGGTGATCTTTTTTGGAGAAGTGGATTTCCTTGATGGTATTTTAGAGCATTCGCTCCATTTGAAATTGGTCTGCTTGGATCTGGGTTCTGCAGAATATTACTCCCTGAAGACACATCCATGAATGGTCTATTACTCCACTAATACCACCGCTCCCAGAGCAATATATGCTTCAGTTTTTTATAGCTCTGGTGAGTTTATTTAGTATTTTTGGTGGTGGATTGTCACATTTATATTTTTATATTTTTTTGTGCACGTTTTTGGATATGTATTACGCATCTCAAATTTTGGACTGTTTGTTTGGACATTTTTCTATATATAAAACAATTTTTTATATGTATTTATAAATATTATTTACATGGATAATATTTTATATATATTTTTTTGATTCATAGATATATTTTAATATTTATTTACTAGCGCAAATTATATTTTGTGTTATCATCAGTAAGTTGTAGATATAATAAAAAAAAAAAACAATAGGGCATGTAGCCTCCATAAAGTATTTGCCACCCAAGATTACTTGTTTTTTAAGCCTTCTTACATTGGTGGCCATTGGGGAAGATAAGGATAATGATAAAGAGCTCCACTTGTCCCAGGCCACAGACTCTACCTATTAATGTTGGCCTCGGAAGTATGGAGACACTTTTGGGAAGGAAGTCAGTTCACTGCATATTGCTCCAAGAACCATAATCTCTAAAGTAGCCTTTTTAAACCTTTTTACCCTAGAGAAACCTTGTTAAAATAAATTTAATGGGAATGAGTCGAACGCACCCGTTACATTTGTGTCCAGTGGAAAGAATGCCCCCCTTTCAGCGGTGGTCAGAATGCTACCCTCACAGACAG